CCCCCCCCCCCCCCCCCCGACTCGAAAAGAATTGGACATCCACAAAAAAATCAGTGGTGAATCAGTAGTAATAATAGAAATAGTGGTGCTCTACGCATGTTACACCACGTCGTTGTAATATTTCTAAGTATAAAATCAATACCTAGAAATCTTTGCATTCTCTAAAGCATTTCGAGTTCGATTGTCAACTCTCCAAAAAATCTCATTAGTCGTTCTCTTTGTATTATTTTCAATTCTTGAAGTTTTTTTTACTAGAAGGTGTTGTATGATTTGTGATTATCATATTTGACATAAAAAATGTTGGTTCTGGGTTCAAAAAAATAAAAATTGTCGGTTCCTATTTGCTGTTGATTAGGCCAACACCAACCTGCCAAGTTTATCGAGATTTAGATTATTATTAAATTTTAAATTATGGTAAAACAATCTCATTACTCATAAATAGTTAAAGATAGGTGTATCTTAGTAAGTTAGTGTACAACGCTCTGATGGTAGATCGAGTCGGCTATTTTGATATTAGGAAATAATGTCAACATACCATTCAAGAGGGACATAGTTGTGCATGTACATTCAGGAAGTCGACATAGAACAACATTATTTCAATTGTTACGATACACTACAATATCCTTTGCTTTTCAGGGGAAGTTGGATGGCATCAAAATATAAAGACGAGAATGAGAAGGAAAAATGATGAAGTTAATGTCGAAAGTTCTTCCAACAACTTTTGATTCTATTGATGGCATCATTACAAATGAATGTCCAAGTATTATCTATTTAATTGCAACTCTTTATATTTTATTATAACTACAATGCAATCACTATCGCAATTACAAAAATATTAAATATATTTTAATTGACATACTAATTTGACAAAAAGACTCCTCAAGTGTATCTGCCGTGTGTTGGGCTTTAATATACAATAAATTTCAGGCGATGATGTAAACGTCAAAATATAATTTCACGGGCCTCGGTCAATGGTGAATTGATTACCAACAACCAAATCCAAAGACTTGAACTGAAGACAACGTGGATCGTTGGAAGTAGTTTAAGAAATTAATGATACTCACGGCATATATATATTTACATATTTGATGACTTTTAGTCTTGGCTCATTTATCCTTTATTTGGCCCAAATTGATAATCTAATGTAAGAATATATATGTAGCATCCTTCCCTTTGCATATTAACGTGTGATTTGTGTGAGTGAAAACAAGAAAAATGTGGTTGCCTTTGCTGTTGAAAAATCCGACTGCTCTGTGCTCCAAAAATCGGTGAATATCTTTGTCTTGGCTTCCTTTGTGCCTTCTTCCATTGTCTTTCTTCTTACCTTTGTGGCTACTAATCAACATCAATATCTTATCTTTTGTGGTAGAGATTGAGAAGCAACAGAGGTAAATATGTTGGTTGTTGGTCGGAGCCCTTTGGATTGATTGTTTGGTAGAAAATGTAACGTGAAATGAAACTAGGAAATAATTGTTTCGAAACTCTTGGAACGAGCTTCCACGACACCTTAAATACTACTGCTATAAGTTACAAGTAAGGTCCTATGTCAAATCAACGCTTCTCTTAGATGGACGACTATTACAATAGTATGTTGTTGATATATACAGATTGAACTAGGCTTGACTTTTACAGGAAACACCAATTGTAAATTAGATATGAGATATATCAAAGAATTGTCGACACAATTAATGCCTGAGAACAAGGGGATATAAAGTTGGAAAAGAGTAGTTCTATTATCTTCATTCATTGAAGGATATAGGGATACGCGTACCCATTTTTCTAGATACTATGGCATTGGTGCA